CACACCCGGGCACGTGTCCACACGGCCCGCACCGCCGCACGGCCACGCGGGGACGGACACAGCGGCCCCGCGTCCACCCGGCCCGGCCCGCACCTCGAACTGCCAGTGGGCCGCCTGCAGGAGCTGCTTCGCCTGGTCGGCCGCGCAGCCCGCCGTCAGCACGAACTGGTTGATCATGACCTGGTGCTTGAGCTCGTCCATGTTCACGGACAAGGCGCCGCGCAACTCGCTCCTCCGTCTCACGCGTCCACCATTAGCGAGCCGGCTCCGGCTAATACAAATATTTACTGTGCGGTTCTGACTCACCGAGCCTCGCCTCGCTCCCGGCCGGCGGGCGGGGCGCTGGGCATGCTGGGAGTCGTAGTCCGCCGCCGCTTCCGTCAGTGCGCGCTTGAACAGGGGCTGCGCCGGCGGGCGTCCACGACGCGAGACGAGGCAGACCTAGGTCCCAGCGTGACCCGGGCTGACTGTTGTAGCTCGAGGCCCGGGCAAAAGGGATGGATGGTGCGTCTGAATGTTGAGCGCCTACCGTGTGCCAGGCCCGGGGGGCCCAGTGCAGAAACAGGACAAGAACTGATGCGGGGTCAGAAGGGAAAGGGCCTCAGATCATGGGTGCAAAGTGCGGACCACACACTGGCCTTTGCCAAGACCACAGAACTCTCAACCCGGCTGTCGCTGGCATCCCTCTGTTAAGGTGGCGTACCCCTGGAGGGGGAGAAGACTAGGAATATTGGCAAAAATAGCCTCTGCTAGGCCGAAAGCTCCCCCACGGCCTGACAGTTGTTGTTAGGTGCAGTGGAGTCTATTTCAACTTACAGTGACTCCATGTGACAGAGTAGAACTGCCTGGTAGGTCTTCCTAGGCTGTAATCTTTATGGGAGCTGATGGCCAGGTCTTTCTCCTGTGGAATCGCTGGGTAGGTTTGAACCGCCAGTTGGAGCTCCTCCAGTGAGTGAGTGAATTAATGAATGAATCTGCCCTTTGAGGCGCTGCTGGAAGTCACCGCCTCCAGGAAGCCTTCCAGGTCTCCCCAGTACTCCGAGTGCAAGCACGCATTGCCCACTCGTGGCCCTCGGCCTGACACCCAGTAGGCCCACAGTAGGAACGTCTGGGGACAGATGGCCCGGGGATAGGCTGGCAGGGCCAGCAGCCTCGGACACCTCGGGATCCCCCTCCCCGCCGCCACAGGCCTCCCACTTTCCCACGCAAAATCTCGTGCTCTTTAGTGGAAATCTCGACTTGAACAGTGCGGTCTCCAGGACCGCGCGGAGCCACTTCCGGAGAGGTTGAGAACTCCCAGTCCCAGAATGCCTCGGTTTATTTGTATCTTTCGGTACCTGGTGACGTCAGCTGAGTGAGGCCGCGCCTCGGCCAATGGGAGGCCACGGGGTGTTAGGACCTGGCCATATAAGGTAAACAAAGCTGGTGGCCCAATGAGGCGGCGGTGGGGGCGGG